TGACATGCTCATAGTCACACAGCTAATCATTTAAAAAAGAGATTAGCACCTATAACTTTGTAAAAGAAATATTAAACCATGGTACTTTCCCCCTTGCTATGTATATGGACTCAAGTAGTAAAGAAAGTTTTTCTTCTCTTAAGTTTCCATAGTACTTCCAGACCTTAGTCATAAGTTAAATTGTAAAATACCAAACTGACCGTTACTATACACTTGCCATATTAAGATGTTCAGTCCTTTGAATGTCATCTTCATTGTTTAGTCTGTTGTGATTATATTATTTCATCGATGATATAACCACTATTGCTCTAATAACACACTGTGATGCCACACCAGAAGTACAAACTTGTACATACATATAAAAAGCAGAAGCAGCAGGAGGTTGGCAGGAGGAAATTGCTTTCCCTAGTGGAAGAGGTACAGTCTTACACAGTCTGTGGATCACACTGGCAGAAAGGAATGCCTTTACATACTTGTGCTTGCTTCTAAGAGGAATGTTTTCCATTTTTATTCAGAATTAGTATAACCAAGCAAATGTTATAACTCTAAAAATTCAGGGACTATAATACCAGCTAAGTAAGTTAATATTACATAAATTTACTGTGTTCTACCTGAGTAAGAATTCCAGTTTCTCCAAAACAGAACCAGTCTTAACTAGCAACCTCTGGGTGTAGTTCATCATTATGCTGCTGCCTAACATATTACTGGATAATGTATAATTCTCCAAAGGAGAAGGGAAACAAAGAAAGAGTATCTAACTGGAAGGAAAGAGAGTTTATTTTAGTTGTAGATTATTTATGCACTGGCCTTGTGATCAGAGATAAGTTGTTTAACTTCTTCTATAACCTTAGTTTCTTTCTTTGTGTAAAACCTGTTCCATATATTTTACATAGTTGTTAATATTACATGAGATAATATACATTTAAGGAATAATATTCAGCTTCTCCAATTCCAAATCTGTACTAGCTGGGATTCTCCAGAGTGACAGAACCAGTAGGATATGTATAGAGATAGATTAGAGGGGATTTATTGGGATAGTTGGCTCACACAATTATGGTGGCTGAAAAGTCCAACAACAGGCCATCTGCAACCTGGAGACTCTGGGATGCATGGCTCAGCCTAAGTCCCAAGGCCTCAGAACCAGGAAAGCCAATGGTATAACTCTCAGTATGAGGCAGAAAGCCTCAGGACTCAGAGGCTGCTAGTGTGTGTCCAAAGCCTGATGAACCTGGAGTTCTGATGTCCAAGTCAGCAGAAGAAAAGTTGTCCCAGCTCTCAAAGAGAGAACAATTTCGCCTTCTGTATTTGTTCTCTTTGGGCCCTCTGGCCGATTGGATAGTGCCCTTCAACAATGAGGGCAGATCTTCCCCAGCTGGTCCACCCAGACTCACATACTAATCTCCCCTGGAAATACTCTCACAGACCCAAAATAATGCTTTATCAGGTTTCTAGATATTCCTTAATTTCTCCAAGTTGACATCTAAAACTAAGTTCACAAATCCTCCCCTTAACAACTTAACACCCATAGATAGCACCTTAAACAAGACTTAATTTCCAAATAAAGATAATAACCCAACTTGATGAAACTAACATGATGCAATTATCCTGCATACAACTCAAAATGCACTAATCCTTTCCCCAGAACTCATATTTCACGATTGCAACATTCAGGATTTTAATCTTTTGGGATTGTGATTTTCAGGATTTGGGACTTTAGCAATTTTGGTCTTTATAGATTTTGGTCCTTTGAGATTTCAGCATTCAGATTATGGCATTAAGAATTGTGCCTTTTAGGATTATCATCAACACTGATATTTGAGCACCCTAAATTTGCATTTTCTTTTAATTTTTTTTAAGTTTAAAAAGCAAAACATGCCCATGATAAACAAGAAGAAGGAATAAGAGGAAGGAGGAAAAGAAACAAACAAATAAATAAATGATATTATTATTAGCACCAATTATGACCAAAACACAGCTGACTATGGACAAATCACTTATTCACTCCTATAGTTTCTCAGTCTATAAAATGAAGGATCAAATTATTTGATTTCAAATAGCTATTTTTAAATATAAGTATTATATATATTATTCTCCAGAGGAAATTACCCAAAACTCTTTTAAAAACTGGAATATAGTTTTGTGTTTTCTCAAAGTGAATACAAGAAAATAATTAAAGTATCAAATAGGACATTTGATAAATAAATAAATGTTTGGCATTATTCAATCAAAATTCATTAAAATTAACATTTCATGAAATAAATATGCATATAGCTCCATTCTAAAATGTCCATGAATTTATCTAATAAACAAACGTACTGCTATTATCAAGTCAGAATTCTGATCTTATAGTTACCTGAGCTATTAAGAAATCATTAGAATAATAGCTAGAAAGGTGAAATCAATCATTTGTTCAAATAAATTACATACGTACACAACTGTATCAATAATGGCAAAAAAGTATTGTTAAAGAGAAATGCTACAGAAATGATTCCACTGAATCTATGTGTTCCACTAACATCTTCGATGTTTAAATTAAACATTGAATGATTAAATTCTTCAATGTTTAACAATGACCTAGAGGCATATAATATATATATAAAATATATGTAACACTACATATAATATATGCATAAATATAATTGTATTTTATAACAATCTATGTCTTGCTTTGATCACATCATCTTCTAACTCTGTGACTTTCAACAATAATGCCAGGACATATATATCAACCTCTTTTAACAGCTTTATAATATCTCATTATAAGTGTATTCCATGATATATTTAACCAATCCCCTGTCAAAGAAATGTTTTAGTATTTCTAGGGTCTTGTTATTGTTTTTTTTTTTTTTGCTATAACAACATTTCTGAATGAATATCCTTCAGTAGACCTCTTTGCACATTTTTTTTATGACTATTGCTGAAAGACAAATTCCTAGATGTAGCATTCCTGAGGCAAAGGTTTCTTAATAATTTTAAAATTTTTATAGATAAATTGCCCTCCATGGATTTCCTTCCAAGTCCCACCAAAAATGTTCAACAACACTATTCTAAGATTATGGGTGGAAAAGGCTTTTTATTGTTTGGCTTTGCATTTTTAAATTGTGAGGTTGAATATTTTTTCATATGTTCAAAAGTCATTAACGTTTAATTTTTCTTTGATCAAACTAGGATATTGTTTTAGGTTATTAGTCTTTTGTCTTTGCTTTTTCTTCCCAAACTCTATTATATTAAACAAATTTAGGTAATTTTATATCATGCACTTTACAAATATTGTTTCCCAATTTTTATTTTGACTTTTCTCTATGCAAAAAATTTTAAGGGATTGTGTAATACATATATTTTCCTTTACGGCTTCTAAATTTTGGGTCTTATTTGTTAAGGCGAAACTTCTACTCTATTGTTAAGTTTTTTTAGTAAAATATTTGAACATAATTTGCTTTCTGCAGAATAAACCACTTGTTTAAATGTTATTTGTGCTATTAAGGTACTTATCAAATTATGTGCTACAGAGATTTCAAAGGCAGACCACTGTCTCACCTGTATCTCATATCATTATTTTGTAATTAATGGTATCTGAATTAATAGAGATTTTGGAGTTTTGAAATAGCAACCAACAATTTCTCAACAATGCTTATATTATGATGCCAAACTCAGCAATACTGTCAAGAGGAGGTAGAACTGGGCTAATTTCTCCTTCAGATGCTGTTTCTTCACAAATGGCTCATAGCTCTTTTGATGAATTGTTAACGTTCTTTTTTAAATCCCAGATGCACTTGTTCCCTTAAGAAAAATCATTCTATTGCCACCAGACTTCAGGGGGTTATCTCAAAAATGATGATTGTGTATTCACTTATACACAAAAGGGCAAGGCAATAGGAAGTATACCCATGTTTAATAATTGCTTCTTTATCTACCCATTCCTGCCACAAGGCAGGGACCTTGTCTTAATCATCACTGAAGGCCCAGAATGTATGGGCCTAATTAAGAGAAGTTGGTCAATAGGTATGTGAGGAAAAAGTGAAAGAATAAACAACTGAACAAACTAAGGTCTATAGTCTAGTCTCTGTCATTGACTTGAAATGTGATCTTACATGAATTTCTTTATCTTTCTGGGTCTTCATTTCTTTTTCTTCAAAACAAAAGGTTTGGTAGGAAGAACAGTAAGATAATAGATTTGATAGCAGTTCGAAAATAAAAAATTTATATCATTAATATTTTCTCCCATAATTTTGTACTCTCATTTGTTTGTTAATTTTTATGTCTATTCCAGAAATCTCTTGATACATTGGAAAGTTTTATGTATAATTTTGGGTTTTTTAGCTCAATATGTATTTAATAAGCAAATATTTTTGTAAGGTATGGAATACTGGAAAGACTGCGTGATACTGATTACATGTGTAAAATGGATGGCAAAGAAAAGTAATTCTCATTGGAAGAGAGTGTATTGTCTAATAAAATATTATTACATTATTTTTATTAGCACCATAATAAATATTATTATGAAAAAGGCTTAGATCTAGCAGGATAAAAGTTGCTATTTAAAAGACACACATTCAATATCATAAGTTTTATGCTTTCTTCCATAATTTTGTCCTATTATTAGTTTATTAATTTTTATATCTAGTCTAGAAAGTTCTTGATGCTTTGGAAAGTTTTATGTATAATTTGAGTGTGTTTATTAGCTCAATTTACCAATATTATGCTCAGTTTAATTGATTGATGAGATAGATAGAGAGATAAATGGATAGATATTCATAACTAGATATGGACACATTAAAAATGTTATTGGACTTCAGACTCATTGCCAGCCTGAAAGGACTTTTTAAATCCTACATTTAAAGTCTTTACCTTTTATTCGGGAATTGGGGCAGGTAGGAACAGTAAACATGCAGGGGAAGAAAGATCTGGGGGTAAATAATGTGGCATAAAAGGAATAAATATGATGTATTTTAAAGTAATGTTTATATTCTATTTGTTAATTTTATTCTATTTCCCTGCAGGTTTAAATGTTTATTTGACTACCTGGCTGCTGATATAAGAACACAAAATGAATAACTCAACAAACTCCTCTAACAATGGCCTGGGTCTTACCAGTCCTTATAAGACCTTTGAAGTGGTGTTTATTGTCCTTGTGGCTGGATCCCTCAGTTTGGTGACCATTATTGGGAACATCCTGGTCATGGTTTCCATTAAAGTCAACCGCCACCTCCAGACCGTCAACAATTACTTTTTGTTCAGCTTGGCCTGTGCTGACCTCATCATAGGTGTTTTCTCCATGAATTTGTACACCCTCTACACTGTGATTGGTTACTGGCCTTTGGGACCTGTGGTGTGTGACCTCTGGCTAGCCCTGGACTATGTGGTCAGCAATGCCTCGGTTATGAATCTGCTCATCATCAGCTTTGACAGGTACTTCTGTGTCACAAAACCTCTGACCTACCCAGTCAAGCGGACCACGAAAATGGCAGGGATGATGATCGCAGCTGCCTGGGTCCTTTCCTTCATCCTCTGGGCTCCGGCCATCCTCTTCTGGCAGTTCATTGTTGGGGTGAGAACTGTGGAGGATGGGGAGTGCTACATTCAGTTTTTTTCCAATGCTGCTGTCACCTTTGGCACCGCCATTGCAGCCTTCTATTTGCCAGTGATCATCATGACTGTGCTATATTGGCACATATCTCGAGCCAGCAAGAGCAGGATAAAGAAGGACAAGAAGGAGCCTGTGGCCAACCAAGATCCAGTTTCTCCCAGTCTGGTACAAGGAAGGATAGTGAAGCCAAACAACAACAACATGCCCAGCAGTGATGATGGCGTGGAGCATAACAAAATCCAGAATGGCAAAGCACCCAGAGAGGCTGTGACTGAAAACTGTGTCCAGGGGGAGGAGAAAGAGAGCTCCAATGACTCCACCTCAGTCAGTGCCGTTGCCTCTAATATGAGAGATGATGAAATAACTCAGGATGAAAACACAGTTTCTACTTCCCTGGGCCATTCCAAAGATGAGAACTCTAAGCAAACATGCATCAAAATTGTCACCAAGACCCAAAAAGGTGATCCATGCACCCCAACTAATACCACTGTGGAGCTGGTTGGGTCTTCAGGTCAGAATGGAGATGAAAAACAGAACATCGTAGCCCGTAAGATTGTGAAGATGACCAAGCAGCCTGCAAAAAAGAAGCCTCCTCCTTCCCGAGAAAAGAAAGTCACGAGGACAATCTTGGCTATTCTGTTGGCTTTCATCATCACTTGGGCCCCGTACAATGTCATGGTGCTCATTAACACCTTCTGTGCACCCTGCATCCCCAACACAGTGTGGACCATCGGTTACTGGCTCTGTTACATCAACAGCACTATCAACCCTGCCTGCTATGCACTTTGTAATGCCACCTTCAAGAAGACCTTTAAACACTTGCTCATGTGTCATTACAAGAACATAGGCGCTACGAGGTAAAACATCATTGACAAAGTGGAAAGTGGGAAAGGGAGCTTGGGAAGAATACAAGCAGTAAAAGAGCTCCTAGTTTTAAAATCTCTGCCATTGCACTTTATAGTCTTATTATGGAATGTGCAATTCAGGAGCCCAACAGCGACACTGTTATCAAGCCTATGCTCCAGTTTGAGAAACTTGCACCTTATAAACTGTCAGTTTAGGAGCAATGAGACAATGAAAGAGACATGTTGGAATTGTGGATCAGGGAATGATCTACATTTTCTCATGCTCTCTTAAAGAAGGGCTTCAGAATCTGCAATTTTATCAGTCTGCACAAGAAGAATAACCTCGTTCTATTTTTCTGTTTCTTTTTGTTGTTGTTATTCTCATGTGTCCATATGAGGATGAAATACCACAGTTTAAGATAACATGGAGACTTAAACATTAAAAAAAAAAAATAAACACTATACGATGGGGAAGTGAAGAAAGAAAATCAAGAAAAGGATCCAGAAATGGTCTCCAGAGTGTTAAGCATATTTTATCCTTTTGTTATGGTCTTATTTGGAGGATTGCAATGTAATAAATGCTTATTTTTTTTTCACCTTTCCTTTTTCCACCATGAAAGGAAAGCAAACAACAAAAAGCCCAAATAGGTCTCAGCATTTTTTTTTCATGCTATGGCATTAGTTTTTGGACTTTCCTGTTCTAATTGTTTATGGGAAATCCCTGCAGGACTTCCACTAAATCCAGCCAGAGATACTATGAAAATGGGCACTTCAGCCCACCCCACTGTGTCTTTTGCATTCTTGGGGGTATAAAGTCCATATGGATTGAGTTCATTTATGATTCTCTGTGTGAAATATTTTAGCCAATCTGATTTTATCCTAAACCAGCTTTTTATTTTAACAGAATAGCCTACCTAAAACATAAACATGCCTGAGAAACCAAAGTCATCATAAAATTGAGATTTCATTGAGTCAACTGATGATCAATCTAGTGGGAGAAAGTATGCTAAGACCAGGTGGTTTTTTGAGATGAAAAAAACTAGAAGTTTGGTAGAGCATTCTGTTTCAACTTGAAACTGCCCGATCCATTTATCAAATGTGAACTTTTAAAACATGAAATTCTTCCTGACTTTGTCAGCTGGAAAGGAATATATTTGGAATCTTAAACAGGATTAACATCCCCACATAGCACCAATGACTTCTGGATCAGTCCCAAGAGGGTAAGACTTTCTATCCAATGCCTGCAAAAGGATGACACTCAAACGATAATCATGTGAGGTCTGTCACTAGCCTATGACCCAGTGAAGGGAAAAATGAAAAGTAATTCAAAAACATTTACTGAAACCACATGTTCCGTATTCCTCAAATTGTCAAATCTCACTAACATTAGTTAACTTCAAAATTCTCCTAATATAATTTCAATAGAATTATAGTACTCTTTGGGACAGAAATCCAGTGGATAACCGAACAGAGACCAAATGAGCTCACAGCATCTGACAGAAGAACAAAGGTAGCTTTTCCCATGTCACTTCTCACCACCATCCAATTCCAAACCACAAAAAACTCATGTCAGGAGCTACTGTCTATAGCATTATACAGAATCTCGTCCATATAGAGAGTTTTATTAATATTTGGTAGGCCAAATAAATATAAGATTGTGCTCATTCCTATGTAACTATTTATTTTTATTCCTCTTATTCTTTTCTTACACTATTTCCTGTAGTCTTTCAATCAGATTTTTTTAAAGATGGCCAAATCGATAGAAATCAAATTTATAAATGTATTTTTAAATTTTGTATTTTACATTTTAGATTTATGGACTTTATGACATTTGTCCTCTAATACAGATGTGAGTTACATGATGAATTTGTCAGTATTAAACCCTAGCACTTGTTAGATTTATCTTGTATAACTTGCCTTATCAATGGCATCTCAACAATTTTGGAAGTTGGAAAAAAAAAAGCACAATGGAAACAACAACAAAAAAGTTGAAAGTTAGTAAGAAACAAATCAACAATAATATTTGCATTTATCCTTTATAAAGATAATTTTTTAATCAACTTCAATCATTTCTTACCTCCAGAAATCTTCCATGTATAACCATACAATATCAGTTCTTTTACTCTATGATTACTTTAATGTAAACTTTTACATTTTAAATCCATATTTACAATTATATTGTTTCTTCAAATCAATGTATCAGTTGAGTGGGAATAACACCAAGCCAATGGGCTTCCTGGTTTTCTAAAACAAAACAATTGGCTTTTGTGAAAAGTGAAACAAAACATTTCACTTTTTAATTTGTTATATTATTATGACATAGACTTGGCTTCAGTTGGGATGAAACCTTTGGAGTCAAGGATTCAGGGTCTTTTTTTGTTTGCTGTAACAACCCAACTCACTGTGAATCAAACTGTCTTTTATTCTCTGTTGCCATTGTGTCCTTCCCTTTCTTCCTTGTGTTCTTGATCTTCGCCACAGCCGCCACAACCTTATTGAGAGAGAGACTTCAAGTTAAAAAAAGGAATTTGAAGATAGACTGACACACCATGGAAACTTTCTCAAACAGATCAGAAAAATGGAAGGAATACTGAAAACGGTAGATGACTGGAGAAAGATGGGGACTGTATTCAAGGATTTGTATTAACCATTGCTGGATTTGCCTATTTAAGTGGCTTTCAATTAGAGACAATTTTCCCTCCAAAGGACATTTAGCAATGTAGAGACATCTTTGATTGTTACATCTGGGAGGAAAGCTATTGATATCTAGTGGATTTAGAGGCCACAGATGCTGCTAAACAGCCTACAATGTACAGGACATTTTCCCCCACCCCCTCCAATCAAATATTATTTCGCTCAAAATGTCAATAGTGCCAAGGTTGAGAAACTCTTATCTATTTTAAGGGATTTCTAGAGCTTGCCTCCTCCTATAAGTGGGAAAATAATCCTGCATCAGTTTTTAGAGTGGCAATGCAAATTGCTCACCTGTTTGAACAAAGCAATGCTCACCAACAATCATGTATCAGAAAAACTCATCCATTGAGTCTGGTATATTTGTAATTCACACAGATTGGGAACATAAGCCACAACTACATATTCAAAATCACCAGACTATGCACATGGCATGTAAGTTCCAGCATCTTAATGTTCAATCATGACTGCCACAAAGACTAGTCAATTGAGGTTACAGTAGTTGGCCATCAAAATGGTTGCAGTTGATATGGTCAGTTTCTATTGCAGCTGCAATTTTTACTTTCATAAACATTAAAAGCCTCTTTCAGAAACAATATGATTCATCTGCTTTCACTGGAAAGGTGAATATCTGTCAAGTCTATATTTCTTCTCTCTTCATAGCAATAATGTAAATATCTCAGAGTGGTCTTATGAAAAGAGGAGATTAAGAATATGAAAAAAAAGCCAGTTCATTTCTTGAAAAGAGAAATTATTTCCTTTTTACCAGTTCATCACTAATTTAATGCCAGCTCCCAAGTATTAGGACAAAAATCACCAATATATTAAGTCACAAGGGATAAACTTTCTAGTTTGAAATGTGGAAGCTGGAGGTTCCATATTTTTCTGCTCTTTGTCCATTCACTGCTTTTTTGATCCTGAAGATCTGGCATTGGGGGAGACAGGAGTTCAAAATCATGGCAACAATTACTCGGCAATGAACTCTACTTCTATTTTTCCCTCTTAGTTCACTGATAGTTGCTTCCCCCCAGTTTAGTAATATCCCTTTCAACAACCATAGCACCGGTGTTGCAAATAGATTAGGAAAGCACCCAAAGCTGGATGAAATTGTGCAAAGTGTATTTGCAGCATGTATATATAATACCATGCCTCTTAAACATGCTTCTCTTAAAAGGGTGCACACTGTAGCATGAACTGTGTGCATATTTAATGTATCTTCCTGGAATATGCTATATGCTTCATATATATATATTCTATAAATAAAATAATAAAATGTACAATAGAAATACATATTTCTGTATGCAAATAAATATATTATACACAAAATTTTAATATGTAATGTGGTGGTATATGTTGCTTCTGAGTCACAGGAGTAGATTTTATGTGCTCCATTTTCAAAGAAGGTAGCATTTGCATTTGAAGAAGAAATTTAAGAACAGCCAAAATCCCACACATGTTAATATTATACTGCTTTATAATCTTCGAGAGCATGGCACTGATTTTTAATATCTCTTGGAGAATTTCATTAATAAATCTTTGCCCGTATCACTCCACATAGCAACAATGCTTCATCTGCCTGTGCCCCTGACAGGCCTCTGACTAGAACCTTCCCAGCTGGTCTCATTCCAACAGCTGTGTTGCTGCCATGTCTGATTGCCTGATGACGTTGCAACCAACCCATTCTCATATGGTTTCACTCTCTGCCAAATTAACCGGTTGTAGTGGAATAAAAAATAATCTTCCTGGGAGGAAGAGATGACGTTCAGAATGTTTTTCATTCTGACAAACAAGGTAAAAATGCACACACACCACATTTTGTTAATATAAACCACTCTTCGATTTTGGTCCAATACAATATATCCCATAGATGAAATGCCAAAAAAAGTTTAATGTAGTATAGTATCAGGAGTTTCCCCATGAAATCCCAAAATAGATGGTTTGTTTCTGGGTGTCCTATATTTTCTCCATAGCAATCCTCTTTCTTTCCCTGTCATCCACTCAACTATTCACATTCCACAGAATATTTTCTTTGGCCCATTAGCAGGAATCTATAGAGTTAGCTGATATTGTTATAATATTAGTTGATCGTAGGCCTGAAATCCCAGGAGATATTTTCATTTTAATAGGAAAAGTATACAAATTGACCATTTGAAAGATTACTGTTACATTCCTTACATACCAAGACATGCAATGGTAGAAAGATTTTTCAGCTAATTCCAGTTTTCTCAAACTTTAAGACATGTTTCCTAAATTTTACCTATTATGACACAATTCCCCCATGTGAATTGGTGTCCTTTATCTAAACCAATGTAATTCTAAAAAATTGAGAGTTTAATCAATTCTCATTAGCTTCACATTGTTTCAGTGAAATGTTCTCTTTTCATTTTTGATAATTTGAATTGAATTCTGTATTGATGACGTATCCAGTGCTATTCCTAACTAGATGGTTGCTAGTTCCCACCATTGCTATTCCATACTAGATACTGAACCAGGAAAAATATCTTGCCATCATCAAGGTAAAATTTTCTACCTCATGGCATCTATCAGTCTTTTTCAACCAAAAGTGAAAGAAACAGAATGTGGTAAGTTGTGTAACTTAGGTGTTTATTAAATAGGTAACATTTTAGAAAAGCTGTTATTTGCAAGTACAGCATTAATTCCTTCAGGAGGGTTGATCCCTCATGTTCTAAATGTTTCTTAAAGGTCCCATTGCCTCTAACACTGTTGCATTGAGGACCAAGTCTCTTGAACAAGAGTTTTAGTGAGGATAAACCATATTGAAGCCATAGCACATATCAACATATAAAGACAAATGCAGAAAATGCTTGAATTCTATGATATCCCCACTAAAAAGCTATTTTAGCCATGCATTTTTATCATCACCTATATGGTATGTTTTTGCATAGATCATATATACAAACACATTCTTTTCATATGAGTATTAAGAATGTATCATTCTATTATGTTGTTTAGCATTACCATAAAGAAAAAATAATGCATCTAAATAGCAATTCATCAACTTCTCCTTAACATACATACCCATACATAGGCACATATACAACCCCATATACTTAGGCACAAAAACACATATGCACATGCAAATATACACACATACACATATATGTGTATATAAACACACACGTGTCTCATCTTGTATATCTTGAGAGTGCCCTGACTTACAACTTTTCTACTACTTCCAAAGGCTTTGGAATTATGCTAGTGAAGATGGTGAACTTGAGGGTCTAGATGAGTGGTGTTGAAGAAAAACTTCTACTCTTTCCTCTTTGCTCTATGTAGACAATTTCACTGCAGGATTTTCAATAGCTGTTAGAATCATATGAGTTTTATCCTTATGTCTACCACCAACAGTCTTTCAGTCATCTGAAAGCCATGTCTCTGCTGCGTACCAGTGATTACACGGGGTCATAGTAAGAAAACATGGCTAGATCAAAGAAATATAGCATAACACATAGAAGACACACCTATAAAAGCATATGCTCACAATGGGTACACTCTCCACAATGCAGGTATATAAGATGGTGCTTTTAATGTCAGCATGACTCGGCCGGGTGCGGTGGCTCACGCCTCTAATCCTAGCACTCTGGGAGGCCAAGGCGAGCGGATTGCTCCAGGTCAGGAGTTCAAAACCAGCCTGAGCAAGAGTGAGACCCCCGTCTCTACTAAAAATAGAAAGAAATTAATTGGCCAACTAATATATATAGAAAAAATTAGCCGGGCATGGTGGCTCATGCCTGTAGTCCCAGCTACTTGGGAGGCTGAGGCAGAAGGATCGCTTGAGCCCAGGAGTTTGAGGTTGCTGTGAGCTAGGCTAACACCACGGCACTCACTCTAGCCTGGGCAACAAGGTGAGACTCTGTCTCAAAAAAATAAAATAAAATAAAATAAAATAAAATAAAATAAAATAAAATAAAATAATAAAAAAAAATTAATGTCAGCATGACTATGTAGAATGTTGAGAAGAGGAAAAAAGTGCTGATTTCTCAGCACATTTCTTCCAATGTCCTTCTCAGACATTCTTTGTAGGTTTATAGTTCTTTATACCAATAGATATTATAGAAATGTAGGAGTGATATTTACTCTGAATATGCAACAGATGATCAAAATGTCTGGTATTCTGAGTTAATAAAAAAGGAAGCCAGGTAGGCATTTTTCATTTTGCAGGAAAAATAAGATTACCAATCAGACTATTTTTGCTTTTCTTAGGATCTCACTATTTTGAATTATTAATAAAGAAATTAAGAGGGTAATTTAAAGATCAGATAGTAAATGACTGAAAAAATTATTTTTTCAACCCTATTGGGGAACAACTTACATAGAAAATATAACCTGAACAAGTTTGTATTTAAGCAGAAAAAATAACCATAAGGAACAAAATTGAGAATGAAACAGGAGCAATAAAACTGTGAAGTCCCAGCGAGAAAAAAAAAAAAAAATCTCTAAATTCTCTCAAAGGAATAACAATAAAGGTTTAATTGAACTTCTTTTCTGTTTCCAAGTTGGTTGTAATTTTTTCTTTTGTCCACTTACTTCCTCTCTTTCTAGCATTTTTGCTAATGTCTTTTTAAACATTGTTTCAAAGGTAATTTTTATAAATGTTTTGAGAGGCAAACACACAAATTGCTGTTTTCCTTGGGCTTGTTTTTAATTTTTGATGTAGTTGTCATTGTTATTCCAGAAAACACAAATTTTTTTTATAAAAAACAGAATATAGTTATGCATCACTTAATGACAGGAATACATTATGAAAAATGCATCATGAAGTGATTTAGTCATTGTGGGAACATGATGGAGTGCACTTACACAAACCCAGATGGTCTAGCCCACTACCCACCTAGGCTATATGGTATAGCCTGTTGCTCCTGGGCTACAAATCTGTACAGCATGTTTCTTTACTGAATACTGTAGGTAACTGAATCACATGTAAGCATCCGTGTATCTATCTATCTAAACATAGAAAAGGTACAGTAAAAGTATGATATTATAATCTTATGGGGCAGATCACCTTCATATATGTGGTTTGTCATTGACCAAAACATGATTAAGTGGCACATGACTATACCAAAAAACTACTGATAATGACACATATGCTTAATATCAACACGAAACAACAGCAAAAATATTGACAAAGGGCAAAACTATAAATGAAATAGCAATTCTGTGTACATGACGGTTTCCATGTGTATTTTTTCCAGTGCCACGTGTTCCTAAATCAAGAAATGAAAGCCTGTCAAGCCCTTTGATGAGCACACAGTGTGTGAGAAACTCTGCACTGTCACAAGTGTGAGAGGACTGAGAAAGAATACAATTATTGCAAGTCTCAGACATGATGAAAAGGGAGCTAAAGTGTATGTTTAGTGTGCACACACCTATTGGAAAGCAAGTTTTAACAGACAAATACTATTCCTTGGCCATGCACAGGTTAAATACTTATGCAACTGACAAATTAGGATTATAAAGTTATATTAGCTATAGTGATTCTTAAAAACCTATCATGACAAAGGATCCTTGTACCTTTATATTTGTTTCCATTCACTTTGCTTCTATAAGAGTAAGAAATATAACACTGGAGAGAAACATCTAGTCTTTTAAAAATCCCATACTAAAAGACAGTCATTTAAATCTATGTGAATTCCAAATCACATAGTGATATTATGGAAATGTACACACTAGAATAATCAAAGAATGTATGATATTCTTTAAAAAGATATATTTTATAGTCTATAAATTGTATAAGCATACATTTTGAGAGTCTTTAAAGATAATCCAAATTTATATATAAATTGGATTGGATATATACACATAGTTTTTCTGTAAATTCCATCTAGTTATATAAGTCTGTATAATTTTATGTGTATTATATATTTTATTTATAAAAGGAAAGGAACATGTTTAAAGATGTGGCACTAGGAATTTAATGGAAAATTATTCACAAATACAAGGAGTGAGGTATGTACCAATGGAAAATATTCAACATACCAGAGAAGTGTTGGCTTAAGTGTTGACGATGCATGTATACAGAGACATTCCAACTTCCAAATTCAGTGCTGAGGAGACAGTGGTGCCAAGTCCCAGAAAGAGCTGGAGAATACCAATCACATGCCGTGTTCCTGATGTGTTTCTGCCACGCTATATTCCAAAATGAAGCATTACACCAGTCAGAATATACAACAAATAGAGCAATGGCATAGTTTGCTTTATTTTTCAAGTGATTCCTCATGTTTAGAAGATACTTGTGACCATCTTACAAATCAGACCCTGGTTACTCCTTAAGAAAGAATGCCCACTAGTTTAAGTTTGTTCCTGGATTAAGACTCTATCTTCCAGATGAAAACTGCTCCAGAGTACTCTTTCTATCCTCTATTCTACATTTCGAAAATCCTGACATGTGGAATAGAGAGAGTCCGGCTTTGCTTAGGTTTATAGAACAGTACTTGGTAGGCTAGGTAGGTAGGGAAGGGTTCCTGTTTCTTCTGTGTTTTTCCCAAAGAATTGACTTAAAGACCTAGATCTGAAAGTCTTTTCCTATCTCCAAACAAGAAGTAAGCCAAAACCTACACAAACTCACCCCAAATCTTTTCAAGTATGCATAGGCCAAGAAATACCATGGTGACTCAGGTTACAGCTAACTGTGTTCTTGTCAACAAGGTAGTGCCAACTGCAGCCCTAGAAAGGATTCATTCAGACATATCCATGCACCAAGTTTATGGAAAACTTAGATTCTTTAAGTCTTGAGGTTGGTCAAAACCTCATTTGCCACCTATTTTCACCTTCAAGAGCAGGAACTCTCTTGAACAGCCCCACCAATGGTCCTAAAGACTCAGTGAGTGGCAGTTCGTGTTCCTTGATGCTTCATACAGGATGTAACTATAACCTCCATCCTCGTCTTCTCTGCTGAACACAGAGCTGTACAGACTATTGTCTAACTACCTCAGCACCCACTTGGCTACCTCACACCTAACCTCAAACCACCATGTCCAAAATTGCATTCCTGATTTTATCCACCAAAGTGTTCCTATGCCACTCTTTCCTAAGCCATCATCTACTTAGTTGCGCAAAATGGAAACCATGGCATTATCCTTGACTTTCACTTCTAAAGACACTTCAAGTCCTTCCAATTTTACCTCAGAGATATCAAATCTGTCAAGCGTAGCTGTCAGTTTCTCCCCCGTTCACTAACGCCACAGCACGGCGCAAGCTCTGTGCCACATCCGCGCGGCTCCCTCACACTGCAGTCAGGGCGGGCTTTTCAGAAGGCAAATCGGAACACGTCACTCCTTGCTTGAAACTTGTTGGTGATTCCCTCCTCTGACAAAGTCTAGAATACTTTACCCAGCCTACAAGCCCTTCTTGGCTCAGCCCTCCCCTCCTCTCCCTCCTCACCTCTCACCACGCTCCCACGCGATTTCTTTGCTCCTGCCACATTGCCGCAAGCCATACCTGTCTTCGTTACGCCCTTCCTGCCAAATGACCTTTGCACATGAACTTGATCGTATTTTGTCTGGAAAGCTCTCCTCACCCTTGGGTACCTGGATAACTACTGATAATTCTTCGCATCTCAGATCCAGGATGATATTTTCAGGGACATCTCCCTGACCTTTTTAACCACATTAAACCCCACAGTATGACTCCCATAGCATTTTTCACTGCTTCAATTTTATTTATGTGTGTGGGATTATTTGAATAAGTTTTTGTCTCCACTCATAGACTGTAAGTTTTAAAAGTACAAAGACTGTGTCTGATTTTGTTCAATTAACATAGCCTTATTCAAACTCACTCTTCTCTCACTCTCTAGTATTTTTTTTTGTTTCCAGTTATTTGACTTTGAGAAGGTTATTTAATTTCTTCATATGTAAATATGTTCCATATTTATACATACATAGTATTGCTCTAAGTTAAATGCATTTATACAGTCAATAATTCAAAGATTAGTAACTTTATAGAGTTTGAAAATTTCCTAGTAGAGTGCCTGACAAAGAAGGGCACTCAATAAATGTTATATATATATATATCACTCATTATAGTGGCAAACTCTAAAGATTCCAGATTATTTATTTATTTAATATATATTGTTTGAGGCAGTGTCTTGCTCTGTCACCCTGGCTGGAGTATAATAGCATCATCATAGCTCACTGCAGCCCCAGATTCGTGGGCTCAAGCGATCCTCCTGCCTCAGCCTCCTGAGTAGCTGGGACTACAGGCATATGCCATCATGTCTGGTGATTTTTTTTCCTGTTTTTCTGTAGAGACAAGATCTCACTGTTGCTCAGGCTGATCTCTAACTCATGACCTCAAGAAATTCCCCCGCCTTGGCCTCTCAGAGTGCTAGGATTACAGGCATGAGCCACCATGCCCAGCCTGCCAGGGCTTTCAGACAGTAATTTGCAGAGCCCTAAGTCTCCCGTAAACCCAGCAAGGGCTTTACTGAGAAAATGAGGCTTCTGGACACTCAGGACCATTTCCCCATAACAGAATTAACTTTGAAACACTCACCATGGAATTTTCTTTTAAGACATGGCTCAAGTATTTCAATTCATTGTTTTGCTTGAATAACCGTACATATCATATTAATAAGTATCGATATCTTATAATGATGTAGCTTATTTTAACTGCCAAGTATTTTCTTAGATCTGGCCATGATCATATGAAAATTTGTTGTGCTTATTTTATAGACGATGGACCAGAGGTTCACTGAAATCAAGTAATTGGCCAAGGTCACAGCTGGCACATGAAACAGCCAGGACTCCAATCGAAAAGTGGTTAATCACAAACAGGAAGCAGCTTGACCTGGTTTCTAAAAAAAATGTGTGTGTGTGTGTGTGTGTGTGTGTATATATATATATATATATATATATATATATATATATATATATATTTACACATACCTATGCATTCCTATATTGACACCCCATAGAACAACAACTTTTGGTGAAGCAGAACAGGTTTATTTTTTCCCCTCTATACACTCTTCTCAGATTCTTACAGTCATCAAGCTTCTGGAATTTCTATTAGGTGTTCAAATACTCTGAAATCAGTCTTTAAACAGAACTGTTACTATTAATCTCAAACAAAACTATGCCTCTTCATAAAGTGCCTACCAACATGTACAGTGACGTTCACACATTTTACCCAAGCTACCCTTTACATCCACCCTGTAACATAGGCACCATTATCTCTTTTTTCAGATGAAGTGTATCTGACTTAAGAAGTTAAATGACTTGACCTATACCACTTTAATCTCCTGTAAATAAAGAAAAAAATGTTCTCTCATTTATTTTTTATTTTTAGAGATGGTGTTTTGCTGTGTTGCCCAGGCAGGACTCAAACTCCTGGGCTCCAGCGATCCCGCCACCTCAGCCTCCTGAGTAGCTGGTACTACAGGCGCACAACAACCACACCCAGCTTGTTCTGTCATATTTAAAAGAGCACACTCAGGCAGTACAAAATTAGGAGGCCAAAGACAGATTTCATATGTGCTTACAGTAGAGGATATTATATTTTCCAACCCTAATAAGTTGGAGTTTGTATAGCAAGTCTTTAGGTGTTAGTTTCAGATACCAATCAAGAATTTCAGAATATTGTCACAAGGAAACAAATGTCATTTGGGGTCATATCAGTACAGATCAGTTGGCTACATCTTCCCCATGGGTCTGGTTGGGGCTTTCCATGAGCTACAATGATTTAATTTCTTATTTACTTCAAAATAACGTGACCATCCAAATGACTACTGTACTATATTTGCTCTTCAAAATAGTTTATGAATCACCAAGATCTGATATGTATTTTCTCCAATTAGAATCCAACTTGCTAAAATTAAATTCTTTCCTTCTATTTTTTTGTATGGAGTGGAGGGCAGAGGGTGAACAAAGCAAAGTCATACTCAGAAATATTTTAGGATAAATTCTGATGAAGCTGCTTGAGTTTTTCAAATTAAATTATTAAATGTGAAAGATGAGGTTTTCTATAGAAAAATAGTTTTCAATTTCCTTTATTCATTCCTAAGAGCTCTAATCATATTTCTTACATGAACTGCCTCAAGAGTCAGAAACAACCATTTGATTCAAAATAAAATAAAACCTGTGGGAAGAAGTTAGATTGAAGAGATGGATTACAGCTAAAGATGTAGCAAACTATGAGAGATTTCCCATTAATGGATGACACAGGGATAGAACAGACAGTTGAAGGAGCAACAGAGGGAAATCTGGTCAGGCAAGAGGTTGGCCTCATACGGGAAGCACAGTGAAAGAAGACTTTATCATTGGTCATTAGACAGAGTGCTGACGTGTGGAACCCTAACGTAGCAGGGCATGCTGGGTGTCTTTTCTAGCCCCTCTCACTCCACTACCTTCTCCATCCTGCACTGTGGATTCTGAGAAGCTGAATTGCATGCACTACATTCACATGTTCCTAGTTTCTAGTTGGTGTCATCAGGGGACCTTGAAAAATGTCAGAGACAAGGAAAGGAATGAAATAATATTTACTCCACTGGGCTCCATTCCTTTTGTTATACCACAACTTGGCGGTGTCCCTCTACAAGAAGCCAAACAAGTGGCCTGTAATGGCCAGTCAGCTGAGTCCAGTAACTCCCCTTTTCCTTGGCCCTTCAGGCCAGAGATTCTAATGGCTCTTCACGGTTAGTAGCTTCAGGATCTTGCACTATTCTCTTTTGTCCCTATTTCCTAAATACCACCCTCATCTTTGTCCACGGTGCCTTTATTAAACTTTCCACAAAGTGCTTATTTTGAATGAACTATCTGTTACCCACTGTGTCCTTAGGTAATAAACAAGGGTTGTTTATTAAAGTAGAAAGCATAAGAATTCTCTAATTTCCATTAAATACTTAAAAGGTAATTTAGGACTCTGGTTCTTAAGGAATGGATTCAAAAAGCAGAATATCAGAACAAGAACTAAGGAAACAGAAAGCAATTAGACATCCATTTTAAAGTTATGGTCTGATTTGATAGTTTGGCCCAAAAAAAATAAAATAAAAGACATAGCCAATTATAATTGATTATTCCATTTGTTCATAAAATCACTTATTCAGCAAGTATTTTTTTTTTTTTTGAGTGAAAATGATATACCTGGCTCTATGCTAGGTTTTTGAGATCTAGTACCACACAGAGAGGAGG